GTGTGTGTGTGTATATACACATACACTGTGATGAGACCCTGTCAGCAGTGTGTGTGTGTGTGTGTATATACACATACACTGTGATGAGACCCTGTCAGCAGTGTGTGTGTGTGTGTGTATATACACATACACTGTGATGAGACCCTGTCAGCAGTGTGTGTGTGTGTGTGTATATACACATACACTGTGATGAGACCCTGTCAGCAGTGTGTGTGTGTGTGTGTATATACACATACACTGTGATGAGACCCTGTCAGCAGTGTGTGTGTGTGTGTGTATATACACATACACTGTGATGAGACCCTGTCAGCAGTGTGTGTGTGTGTGTGTATATACACATACACTGTGATGAGACCCTGTCAGCAGTGTGTGTGTGTGTGTGTATATACACATACACTGTGATGAGACCCTGTCAGCAGTGTGTGTGTGTGTGTGTATATACACATACACTGTGATGAGACCCTGTCAGCAGTGTGTGTGTGTGTGTGTATATACACATACACTGTGATGAGACCCTGCCACAACAGTGTGTGTGTATATATATGTACACACACACACTATCATTAATAATATTGTTAAAGACCTTGTTTCTCAATCATTTTCCCCCCCATAGGTTCATGTGCTCACTGGGAAAAAACAGAGAGAGAGATGGTGAGAAAAGCACCCCCTGGGGAAGATGGCCACACTGAAATCCCTTCTCCTCTATTCTCTTGGGATTTTGGGCGCGTGCACACACACACACGCACAGTGTTTTTCAAAGCTCTGGGTCCAGTACTTGAACTGCGTAGTTGGCCATGTGGAATTCAGCCACCTTAACCACCATGCCACAGGCTGGCCCGCTCATAAAACTGACGTATCTCTTGATTCTTGCTGTGATCTATTATTACTGTGGTGGTACCTAATTCATTTTCTAGCTCTGGTGTTCCTTCTCAGGAAGTTGTTCCCCTTCTCCCTTGCCTATTTGTTTGTTGACTTAGGTTTATCAGTATGCACTCACAGATTCTCATCTTATTCAATGGGTTATAATCCATTACTACCAGTATTTATTTTGATATTCAAATTGTCCCAGATTTGATCAATGGGAAGCCCTTCGAGGTAGAGTCCCTACTCCTTTTTTTTTTATTTTGCCACAGAGTGTATGTACTTACCAGAGAGAGTCAGAGAGACGGGGAGGGAGGGAAGCGAGTGGGGGACAAAGCACTCCCCAGTAGGAGATGGTCATGCCACAATCCCATCTCCATTTTCCCATCCCAGACTTTGGGCATGCACATACACATACCTGGAGTGTTCTTCAAGTTGCCGGAGCCGGCATTCTAACCGCAGCCAGCCATGTGGGATCTGGTTCCTTTAACCACTAGACCACTAGACTATGGAACTGGCCTGAGAACTCACTTTTTTTTGAGAGAGAGAAAGGTTTTTGCTATAGGGCATATCCACTCACCAGAGACAGACACAGAAAGTGAGAAATTACTCCCCTCAGGGGAGACAGTTATGCTGCAATCCCTTCTCCTCCATTTTCCTCTCGGGATTTTGAGTACACACACATGCATACTGGCATGAATTTCAGGCTACTAGGTCTGGGACTTGAACCACAGTTGACCATGTGGGAGTCCAGCACCTTAACGACTAAGCCACCTGCTGGCCCCAAGAGAGTCCTCATTAAAAAAATATATTTATTTTGGGATCAGCAGGTGGCGTGGTGGTTTAGGCGCTGGACACTCCCACATGGCCGACCAGGGTTCAAGTCCTGAATCTGGTGGCTTGCTTTCTCACTTCCTTTCTCTCTCACTCTCACCCTCTGTCTCTCTCTGGTCAAATTAAGAAATAAATGAATGAATAAATAAATAAATAAAATAATTAATTATTAAAGTATATATATATA